ATATTCCATTTTCCTGCTAATGGGCACACCGGGAGGCAGCATTTGATGGCTCTTGCCCAACAAAGCCAGAGACCCAAATTGAGTTCCAGCCTCTTGATTTGAATTTGGCCCAGTCCTGACTGTTGTGAGCATTGGGGAGTGAACCACTGGTTGGGAGATCCCTGTTTCATCTCAGTCTCTGATGGAAGATTTCTTTTGCTGTCTCTCCTTCTCTCTCTATTGGTTTGCATTTCAAATAAATAAACAAATCTAAAAAATTTAATAAATTTTTTAATTAAATTTTTCTTGTAAAGCTTATTCCAGTCATCATTTTGGTTATTGCGAATGAGATTTTCTTTTATTATATACTTTAAAAAATTGGTTTTTATAGAGTCCCATGGGTTTTGGTTTAATTTTGTTTGTACCTGTTTTACTAAAATGCCCCTTTTATAAATAATTTATAGGCTATTTTATGCATTTTCCTATTATCTCCTTGTGTCATTTGCAGATTTTGCGAATAATAATGTTTCCTCATCTATTTTTATATTCATTTCTTAATTTCACTGGTCTTCATGTACAAAACAATGTTAATGTTTGTGATAAAAATAGATATTCTTGTTTTGCCTCTTTGTTATAGTATATCTAGTTTCCTTATTAATATATGATGCTGGCTTTAGAGTTGAGATTGTTTGTATCTTATATTAAGGAGGTTAATACAGTGTTTGTTTCAAAATAAAAAAAATAAAAATAAAACTGGAAAACCTAATTCTTAAACCAGCAGAAAAGTTCCTGGAACATTACAATGAAATTGTTTTTCATTTTTCTTTTTTAAAAAAGATTTATTTGTTTATTTGAAAGTCAGAGAGAGATTGATCTATCCACTGGTTACTCCCCAAATAGCTTTAACAGCCTGTGCTAGGCCAATCTGAAGCCAGGAGCCACAAGCTTTTCACAGGTCTCCTACGTGGGTGCGAGGCCAAAGTCCTTAGGGCCATCCACTGCTGCTTTCCCAGCCACATTTACAGGGATCTGGATTAGAAGTAGAGCAACCAGGATTTGGACTGGTGCCCATATAGGATACTGGTGCTGCAGGCAGCAGTTTTACCTGCAGTGCCACAGCACCAGCCACAAAATTGTTTTTTGGCAACCCAATTTCTCATCATCAAATACTTTAATGTTTCCTTTTTAAATTTTTTTTTTATTTGAAAGGCAGGGTTACATGGAGAGAGAGAATAAGAGACACAGAGAGAAAGATCTTATATCCATTGGTTCACTCACCAAATGGCCGCAACAACCAAAGCCAGGAGCCAGGAGATTCTTCTGGGTCTCCCACATGGGTGCAGGGGCCCAATTACTTGGGACGTCTTCTGCTGCTTTCCCAGGCACATTAGCAGGGTAGTTGGATGGAAAGTGGAACAGCCAGAACTTGAACCAGTGCCCCTATTGGATGCTGTCATCCTATGGGTGCTGGCATTGCAGGTGGTGGCCTAACCCCCTGCACCACAACGCTAGCACTTTTAGTGTTTACTACTACTACTACTACTTCTTCTTCTTCTTCTTTTTTTTTTTTTTTGACAGAGTTAGACAGTGAGAGAGAGACAGAGAGAAAGGTCTTCCTTCCGTTGATTTACCCCTCAAATGGCCACTATGGCTGGCATGCTGCGCCAATCTGAAACCAGAAGCCAGGTGCTTCCTCCTGGTCTCCCATGCAGGTGCAGGGCCCAAGGACTTGGGCCATCCTCCACTGCCTTCCTGGACCACAGCAGAGAGCTGGACTGGAAGAGGAGCAACCAGGACAGAACCAGCGCCCCAAATGGGACTAGAACCTGGGGTGCCGGCGCCGTAGGTGGAGGATTAGTCTAGTGAGCCGCGGCACTGGCCTAGTGTTTACTTCTTAAAGCAAGTTCTGTCCTGTGTGACCACAGATAGTCATCAAAATCAGAAAACTAATGCTGATGAATTACTACTGTTTAATTTTCACATCCCCTTCTTATTTTGCCAGTTGTCCTAATAGTGTCTTCTTATAGCCAGATATAGTTTGGATTTGTGCATTGCATTTGGGTGGTTTTCAAGTCTCTTTAGACTGGAACAGATTTTTCTTTACTTTCATGAATACTTTTGAAGATTACAGGAAAGTTAATATCAAATATCTCTCAAGTTGAATTTATCTGAAGTTTCCTTATGATTGATTTCAGGTTATGCTTATTAGGCAGCAGTATCACACAGATAATCTGTGATCACAAAGGAATATCATAGATAGCCCCATTACTCATTTTTATATGCCTTTCCCAGTCATCCCTATCATCTTTGTAATCATTTTCTTTAACAGTTGATCTTCTCATTTTAGTAAATATTAATCCATTATGTAAATTGATGGGAGGATAGGGCAGTGTTTAGTGGATTGGAGATTGAGTCACAATAAAGAATTCAGGGTATTATAGATATTATATTTGAGGTTTCAGATTCATCTGAACAATGATGGAAGCAAAAATAAAAAACTAGCCAAAGCATGTAGAGAGGACAGAACTCATCATTGAAATTATTATTTAATTATGTGATCATGTCATTGATTAAATTATTTATTGTATTAAAGCTGGAATTCCAGCCTAAAGCATTGTTTGGTCAAACAAGTTGTACTGTTATTTCCTTTAAACAAGAATTTTCTTTCCTTTTTGTTTCTTTTTTTTCAATTTGAAGGACAGTGGTAGAGAGAACAAGAGGGCTTCCATATGTTGATTCACCCCCAAAATACTCATAACAGCTGAGCAGGAGCTAGGAGCCAAGAATTCGGTTTAGGCTCCCAACATAGGTGGCAGGGAACTGATTACTTGTGTGCCATTATTACTGCCTCCCATGGTTGCATTAACAAGAAGCTGCATTCAGGAGCCAGAATTGGATGATGAACTTAAGTAATACAGTGTGAGATGCAGGTACCTCAAGCAGCACCTTAACCCCTAGGCTAAACACCTACCCCAAGATTTTCATTTTTATTGGTTTTAAATGCATGACTCATTACTGTTTTGCTTAAGTAGAATACTTATAGCATTGCAGAATATATAATTTCAAAAGGTTTTATGGTCATTGAATTATAAATAGATGTTATGGATATTTGATGCCTGTTTCTGTGTACACAAATTATTTTGAGACTACACAGTTATTTCAAGAAGATAAACATAGTCCTCTTTTGTTTGTAACAGATTTTTTTGTCTGAAAATTTTTATCATTTTTTAAGCTTATCCTGAACTTAATTTTTTAAATTTTGTTTATTTTTTAGGGAATACAAATTTCATAAGTACAACATTAGGAATATAGTTATTCTTCCCACCATACCTGCCCTCCCATGCACACTCCCACCCCTACTCCTCTTCCCTCTCCTCTTCCCAGTCCCATTCTCTATTAAGGTTCATTTTCAGTTAACTTTGTACACAGAAGACCAGCTCTATACTAAGTAAAGATTTCAACAATATGCACAAACACACGCACAAACTGTTTGAGAACTAGTTTTACAGTTCACTCTCATAACACAATGCATTGAGGACAGAGGTCCTACATGGGGGGTAAGTACACAGTGACTCCTGTTGTTGATTTAACAATTAACACTCTTCTGTTTGATGTCAGTGACCACCTGAGGCTCTTGACATGAGCTACCTAGGCTATGGAAGCCTTTTGAGTTCACAAACTCTATCAGTATTTAGACAACTCCATAAGTAAAGTAGAAGTTCTCTCTTCCCTTTAGAGAAAAGTATATCCTTCCTTGATGGCCACTTCTTTCTACTGGGTTCTCACTCACAGAGATCCTTCATGTAGAACATTTTTTTGCCAGTGTCTTAGCTTTCCATGCCTGAAATGCTCTCATGGGCTTTTCAGCCAGACCAGGAAGCCTTAAGGGCTGATTCTGAGGTCAGAATGTGTAACATAAATTTTAAGAGCTCATTGACATGAAACAAAAAGTATAGTATTTAGTTCTTGAAGTTTATAATGTGATGTTTGCCTCACATTAGAGTACCTAGGTTTGGCTCCTGGCTCATACTCCTGACTCCCAACTTCCTGCTAATGCAGACCCTAGGAGGCTGTGGTGATTGCTTAAGTAATTGAGTTCCTGCCATTCACGTGGGAGAACTGGCTCCCAGCTTCACCCCAGCTCAGTCCTAATCATTGAGAGCATTTGGAGAGTGAACCAGCAGATGGAGTGGTGTGCCTGCTTTCTTGTTCTGGCCTGCTCCCGCTCCCGCTCCCGCTCCCGCTCCCGCTCCCGCTCCCGCTCCTGCTCCCTTCCCCTCTCTCCTCCCCCCTCCCTCTCTTCTTCCATTTCCCCCCACTCCCCATGCCTCCTCTATCTCTCTTACTCTCAAATAAGTAGATCTTTTAAAAGTTTGGCAAAGTAGGTTTTATATTCATTGTGATACTGAATAAGTAATAAATCTCATTCAAACTCAGATTAAGTTTAGTGGGTCACTCAACCTTAGTTGGACAATCCCCATGATTTCTTGGGGATATGGTAAGATTATCCTTAACTGTTAATTTCTTGTTTACAAAATAATATTGTTAACTGTCTTCGTGGATTAATATATTAGAAATGGGCAGAGTGACATGCAGAATACTGAAATTGAGAAGCTATCCTTTGAGGGTCCTTAAATAGAGGTTCTCTCTTTTAGAAGTACAACTTTTAAGGAGCTAATGTGTGTATTATAGTTTGAATTTCTTAATGAAAAATATTTAAATTCTAAATCTGTTCTTGATTATTTGAAACTACAGCTCTTTAGCAGCTCTTGTGTTTTACTGAAAATAAAAGTTGTGTATAATTTATTTCATAGTCAAGTGTAGAGTTTTAGTAATTCTTTGGGGGGGGGGCAAGAATGGGCCGAAAACCATTGTCTGATTTTCCTTTCTCCCACTTTTACTTTCTTTTCTCCTGCGTATTACATCACCTAAAAGGGGGTAGTAAAAGAATGGGAATTAAGAAGAGGGAGCTGTTTATCGCGTGGTCTAATCTGAGTTTTGTCTTTTTCTCCTCTACTTAGGCCCAGATTGCCTTTCTTCAGGGAGAAAGGAAAGGCCAAGAAAATTTGAAAAAGGATCTTGTGAGGAGGATCAAAATGCTGGAGTATGCACTGAAACAGGAAAGGTAATGTAGCGAAATGTAGGAGAGCATTCTTTTAAAGGTCAGATCTTAAAGTTAATCTCAAATTCCAATACTTTTTTCTCCTGAGTTCAGAAGTATATGTAGCAGTTTTATGAATGGTTGTTTTTATTAATTTTATTATGAATAATGTAGTAACAGTGATCTATAAACTGACTTACATGATTTTTAAAATTTTAGCAAATTTTCTCTCTATCCTATCTTTCCTTAAGAAACAAGTACTTCCTGAACTATTGATATCCATTTCTTTTTGGAATTGAAATAGTTTTTGAATTGTAAAAGAAACTTCTGTAATGCTTACTCCCTTTTTCTGTCGTTTATTATTATTCAGTTTGATATATTTTCTTAAATAAAAAGTTACTTTGGCACATTGTGATAAAAATCTTCTTATAGTCTTTCTAAAGAGGTATTTTGTTTGTTTGCTATCAGCTTATTCCTATCTGTCCAGAAGATAATCTTCCCTTTGTATTTGGCAGTGTCTAAGATACTCAAGTAGGTAAATTTGGGTCCCAGATAAAGGAAAAGAAGTCATGGATGTGAGTTCTGGAAGTTATTTGAATTAAGAGATATTCATTGTGTTTTTTATCAGCAGTTTGAGGCAGTTCATTGTTTACCCGAGTATCTGTGTTGCCACCCTTCTGCTTTTTGCTGATCACTTTTTGTCCTTTTTTGAGAAACTGTTAAATGGGCTGTTTGTTAAACTGCCAGAAAATAGTATTTAGCAGATGCTATTTATGAATATCATAGTAGATAAAACTTTGTTAGAACTTGTTTTCGCCTTCATTTAGGATTTTTTTGTTGTTGTGGTTCTTTTTTTATGAGACAGAGAGAGGTGGGGGCAAAGTGAGGAAGTGAGTGTGCACGTGGGCTCCCTGGTTGCTGGACATTGTCCAAATGCCCGCCATGATGGGCTGGACTAACCCAAAGCTGTGAGCTCAGAACTCAATCCATGTCTCCCGTGTGGGTGGCAGGAACTCAGTTACCATCACTGCTATATCCCAGAGCCATCACCAGTGTCTTCCTGACATTGGAGTCTGGAGGCAGAGCCAAGAACTGAACTCAGGTACTCTGATGTGGGATTTAGACTCCTCCTTTTTTTTTTGTTGTGTCTTTCTATAATATTTGTTTATTTGAAACACAGAGTTAGAGAGACAGAGACAAAGAGATATTCCATCTGCTAGTTCACTCCCCAAATGGCTGTAATGGCTGGAGCTTGGCCATTCTGAGGCCAGGAGCAAGGTACTTCTTCAGGGTGTCCCACATAGGTGCAGAGGCCCAAGCACATGGGCCATCTTCTGCTGCTTTCTCAGGCACATAAACAGAGAGCTGGGTTGGAAGTGGAGTGGCTAGGACTCAAATCGGTGCCCATATGGGATGCCAGCACCACAAGCAGTGGCTTTACCCACTATGCCATAGAACTGGCCCTGGGATTTTAGACTCTTATCTGGTATTTTAACCACTACACTAAGTGCCTGCCCCTACCTGAAATCTTTAGATGGCATAAGAAATTGAAAACAGATTAATCTCTTCGTGAAAAACAGGTGTTTTTTTCAGACCTCAAGAGTTTGATTAAAAGCTGTGTTGGGGAGATGGAAAGAAAAGCTTAAAAGTACATAATCTAGTGATATTTGACATTTTAAATTGCCTCTCTATAAGCTTAATCAAAGACAGAGAGCAATAGCATAATGGCAACTGTTTATTGAAGTGCTACTGTGTACCAGGCTTTGAGCCTTGAAGACTGAGTAATTTGCACAGAAAATCAGAAATGGTTGAGCTGAGATTCAGAGCCCTCCGAGTTTTCTGGTTTCTGAAGCCTGTGCTCTTGACTCAGTACATTTTGCTATCTTGTACATAGTAAAATTCTAATACACAAGTACTGAAGTAACCAGGGGTGTGTGTGTGTGCATGTGTATCCAGACTTGTTAACCACAAAAGTATAGTGCAATGTGATACTGCTGTGGTAGAAATCTATTTAGGGTGCACTGGGGTCACAACAAAGAGTGGTTATTACCATCTGGATGATGGAAATACAAAGGAGGGTATAGTTAAAGGAACAGCATCATAAAAATAAGGTGTAGGCCAGTCAGGCACGGTGCAGGAAGTAGAGAGGACCTGCTTGCTTGACATGGAACAAAGCAATTTAGTGTGTTTTGAAATTTGTAATTGTTGTGTATGGAGAGTAGGATGTTGTGATTTGATGACGCATAAAGGTAGGGGAGGGCAAAAGTCAGGTTATAGAGAGTCCACATAATGAGGAACATGGCAAGTCTTCAAAAACATTTTATCCAAAATGATCTCAAGTTGCAAGAACTCCTCCGTACCTTTTACCCAGATTCACCAGTTGACTCATTTTGCTGTATTTGCTTTGTCATGCTCACTCTATGCATATTGTTTTTTTCCTAGATCATTTGCTATTTAGTTTGCCCCTAAATAACTCAGTGTCCATTTTCTAAGAGCAAAGACATTCCTTTATTTAATCATAACACATTATCAAATTAAGGAAACAATATCAATATAATTCTGTTATTTAGTCAATATTAAAATGTTCCAATAAAGATCTCCATAGCATTTTTCTTTTCTAATTAGAAAGCCAATCTAGGATCCAGTCTGGGAATACGTATTACATTTAGTTGTTACGTAATTGAAGGATTTTATGTATAAAATAGTGTGAAATATGTTTTAGAAAAAATTACCTTGACCTCATTGTGACAGATGTGCTAGAAAGATCTCTTAATACAGGCAGGAAGATTATAATACTCGAAGATGAGAAATGGTAGCATAATAGCATAATAGCTGCTGAAATTGGGAGGTGTCAGTTATAAAGCCTTTTAAGTAGAAATAATCCATAAAATTTGGAGATGATATAAAAATTTGGAGATCGGGGGCTGACACTGTGGCATAGCACATAAAGCTGCTGCCTGCAGTACTGGCACCCCATATGGGTGCCAGTTGAAGTCCCGGCTGGTCCACTGCTGATCCAGCTCTTTGCTATGGTTTGGGAAAGCAGTAGAAGATGGCCCAAGTCCTTGAGTCTCTGCACCGACGTGGGATAACTGGAAGAAGCTCCTGGCTCCTGGCTTCACATCGGCGCGGCTCCAGCCATTGCAGCCAATTGGAGAGTGAACCAGTGGATGGAAGATATCTCTCTCTCTCTTTTTCTCTCTCTCTGCCTCTCCTCTCTCTGTGTAACTCTGAGTTTCAAATAAATAAATAAATCTGTGCCAATCTGAAGCCAGAAGCCAGGAGCTTCTTCCGGGTCTCCCAAGTGGGTGCAGGGGCCCAAGAACATGGGCAATCTTCTACTGCTTTCCCAGGCCATAGCAGAGAGCTGGATTGGAAGAGGAGCAGCTGGGACTAGAACTGGCGCCCATATGGGATTCCGACGCTTCAGGCTAGGGCCCCAAAGATAAAGTGTTAAAGAGCAGATATGGAGGGGTGACTTCTGACTAGAGATATGCACATACTTGGGAATCATGAGTATTGTTGTGGCTAAAGTGAAAGCAGTAATTGGGAGAACGAGCCTTACAGAAAGAGCAGAGAGAGCTAGCAGGGGCACTGGAAATAGAAAATTTGAAGAGAAGATAGTAGAGAAAAGCCAACTAAAGAATAAGAGAAGGAAGAAGTAGAGTGCGGTATTTTGGAAGCAAGCTAAAGGAGGGATTTTAACAATTGCAAATGCCGAAACAGACTCCAAGTAAGTTGTGTTCTGAAAATAGTCATTCAGATTTACTGGTTGGGAGCTTATTGGTATCCTTGCCAAGCAGCATCAGTGAGATAGGAGAGACATACGCCAGAAACCAGGAGTTTGAGAGTTCAGAAGGGTAACATGGTAGCAGATATATAGTGGCTTATTTTGTTCAAGAAGTTTGACTTTGATGAACAGAAGAGATATAGGACTGGCTGAATCTAACGAAGAATGTTTTCTTCTTTTCCTTAATTAATGTGATACTCCTGGAAAACAGTGCTCTATTTTCTAGCTTTTGAAGGGTAATGAATGATTTGGAGGTATTCCTGATGTAAAGGCAGTAGTTAAATTCAGGCATCAAAATCATTTGTAGTGTGGAGCTCTGTAACATTTCAATTCTAATTTTTCTAATGCCTTAAATGCCAGTAAATTTTTTTTTTTTTTTGACAGGCAGAGTGGACAGTGAGAGAGACAGAGAGAAAGGACTTCCTTTTTCCGTTGGTTCACCCCTCAATGGCCACTGCGGCCCGCGCACTGCGCTGATCCGAAGCCAGGAGCCAGGTGCCTCTCCTGGTCTCCCATGCGGGTGTAGGGCCCAAGGACTAGGGCCATCCTCCACTGCCTTCCCAGGCCACAGCAGAGAGCTGGATTGGAAAAGGAGCAACCAGGACAGAATCTGGCACCCTGACAGGGACTAGAACCCTGGGTGCTGGCGCTGCAGGTGGAGGATTGAGCCGCGGCGCTGGCCAAATGCCAGTAATTGAAAAAATTATTGAGGATAATTTGAAAAACAGATGTGGACAAACTAGTACCCTTTTTCCCCTCCCAGCCTTAAACAGTTAATATTTTTAGTCTTGCTTTTTTTCTTGATCTGTTTTAGAACATATTTGCCACATCTTGTCATTTCAGCTGTAAATAAGGATCATGGTTTTGCATTGCAGTGTTATAGATTTTCTGTGTAGTTCCACCTTTTTTTTTTTTTTTTAAACAGGCAGAGTTAGAGACTGAGAGAAAGGTCTTCCTTTCCATTGGTTCACCCCCCAAATAGCCGCCACAGCCGGTGCGCTGCGCCCATCTGAAGCCAGGAGCCAGGTGCTTCCTCCTGGTCTGCCATGCGGGTGCAGGGCCCAAGCACTTGGGCCATCCTGCACTGCCTTCCCGGGCCACAGCAGAGAGCTGGACTGGAAGAGGAGTAACCGGGACAGAATCCAGTGCCCCAACCAGGACTAGAACCCGGGGTGCCAGCACCACAGGTGGAGGATTAGCCAAGTGAGCCGCAGTGCCGGCCCCACTTTTTTTTTTTAAAAAACAAGATTTATTTATTTATTTTAAAGGCACAGTTACAGACAGAAAGAGAGAGAAAGATAAATGTCCCATCTGTTGGTTCATTCCCTAAATGGCCACAATGGCCAGAACTGAGCCCATCTGGAGCCAGTAGCTTCTTCTGTATCTCTCATGTAGGTGCAGAGGCCCAAGCACTTGGACTATCTTCCACTGCTTTCCCAGGCTCATTAGCAGGGAGCTGGATTGGAAGTGGGACTTGAACCTTCACCCATGTCGGTTGCTGGTGCTGCAGGTGTTGGCTTTGCCCACTATACCATAGTGCTGGGCCCCTACATAGTTCCACTTTAAGATCCCAAATTAACTAAAACTGAGTCATTAATATTTTAGAGATATTGGGCCGGCGCCACGGCTCACTAGGCTAATCCTCCGCCTAGCGGCGCCGGCACACCGGGTTCTAGTCCTGGTTGGGGCGCCGGATTCTGTCCCAGTTGCCCCTCTTCCAGGCCAGCTCTCTGCTGTGGCCAGGGAGTGCAGTGGAGGATGGCCCAGGTGCTTGGGCCCTGCACCCCATGGGAGACCAGGAAAAGCACCTGGCTCCTGGCTCCTGCCATCGGATCAGCGCGGTGTGCCGGCCGCAGCGCACCGGCCGCAGCGCGCCGACCGCGGCGGCCATTGGAGGGTGAACCAACGGCAAAGGAAGACCTTTCTCTCTGTCTCTCTCTCTCACTGTCCACTCTGCCTGTCAAAAAAAAAATAAAATAAAAAATAAAATAAGATAAAAAAAATTTTTAGAGATATTACTTACTTAGCTGTGGATTTATCACAGCATTCCTTAAAGTGTTAGCAAATTTGCAAAATTAGCACATTTATAACACCTTTTCACGAATACATAGTGTGTCATCTGAAGTTTATTCAGGAACTTCTATACTAAGGAACCTCAAATACTATGTAAAACATAATTCTAAGCATCTCATTTTCCCTATTTCTTTCCATTCACTGAAACTTTTGTTTGATCTTCATTACTGTATTCTTCTTGCCTCCAGTATTTCTTTTTCTTTCTTTTTTTTTTATGATTTATTTTATTTATTTGAAAGGCAGAGTTAGAGAGAGGGAAAGACAGAGATCTTCTATCTGCATTCCCCAGATGGCTACAATGGCCAGAGGTGGGCCATTCTGAAGCCAGGAACCAGGGACTCTGTTGGGATCTCCCATGTGGGTTGCAGGGGTCCAAGCATTTGGGCCATCCTCCACTGCTTTCATGGGCACATTAGCAGGGAGCTGTGCCAGAAGTGGAGCAGCAAGGACTCAAACGGGTGCCCGTGTGGGATGCTGACGTTGTAGGTGGTGGCTTTACCTGCTATGCCATAACATCAGCCCCAGCCTTCAGTATTTCTATATTCCAATTCATCTTCCACATCAATAGGATTCATTTTTAAAATCACAAGTATGATAATCAGGTAATATCACTACTAAAGATATCTGACTAGTTTCAGAGTTCTTCTTAGTAAAATTTTGCAGCCAGGTCTCTTTTTTAGTTCCTTCTCTAAACTCCATTCCTTTTGGGTATTAAATGTTTGATTTTGGACACTGTTTTTGCTTCTCATTTTATGATACTCCTTCTGTCAGAAATGTGCTCTGCATCATTTCTTTGATACCTTCTTTTTGATAACTTTCTTTGACATCATCTTAGACATACTTAGATATTCTCTCATCTGCACTCTTAGAACACCTGCTAAAACGCTTGCAGTTGTTACCACAGTCATGCTATAGCTATTTATTTACATTTTGGTCTTTTAGGCATCCCCTTGTCTCCACTCTCACCTGACTGCAAGCTACAGATTATTCATGGTACCTGGCACATGATAGAAATTCTGTAATGTGTCATTAAAATTCATCAGATTATCAGGTCATATTTGAGTTGTGATTGGGATGCTGTGTTATTTTCCTAGCACATGTAAATTTAAAATGTTATCTCAAAAATAAAAAAGAAAGAGGGAGGGAGGAAGGAAAATCATGTTCTTAGACTTGTGTATCTACAAATCATATTGAATCTGTTAAAAATTAAAAATAGACTGAAATGAAGCTAGTATGAAACTTTTAGTACATTATAATTATTAAGTACTCTTTATGCTATTTTATCTAGTCAAGACCAGTTGGGGGACCTAGCTGTGTATCACATGAGAGTGGTTAGATATGAGATCTACTTATTTATCCTATAGTCAGAGTTAGACAGAAAAAGAATAGTAAACAAGAAAGATTGGTAACACAGTAATCTAAGGGTTAAAACAGTGGGGAACAATTAGTGCCATAGTATTTTTAGCACATTGGCAGCAAAAGGAATATTATTAAACTAAAAAGGAGGTTCTCTGAGTGAAATATTTTTCAGTGAATGTAACAATTCCATAAGGAGACCTTGATACAAGAGACCATAACTTGTGATAAACACAACAGATCTTTATGTTTTATTGTTATCTAGGTTTTTTTTAGTAAGTGTTAGTTCATGATGTGTTATTTCTGTTACATTTATTTATTTAGATTTTACTCAAGTTAGACAAGTTTCATGTATTTCACATATACAGATTTAGGAACATAGTGATACTTCCTCCCTACCCTGAATCCCACCCAAGCTCCGATTCTTCTTGCTTCTCTCTCTCACATTCCCACTCTTAATTTTTACAAAGATCTATTTATTTTTGTAGAATATTTTTTACTGTTTTTTGGAAAATATGTTGCAGTTTTCCCCAAGACCACTAGAATGCACTATAATGCAGTGTTTTGTGTTCAAAAATATTTTTTTGTTGATATATGTATATATATATACATTATATATACATACATACATTATATATAGAATGTATGTGTGTGTGTATATATATATATATACATATATATACTCTTTCCTACAGTTTATTGCCGTTTTTATTTAAAAAGCTTTAGCGTAGTCTGTCATCAGGCTGGTTACATTACAATGTTATTTTGACTTCTAGGAAGTATTCTTAATTTGGCTTATGGTAGATAAAAGAACTTGTATGTTTTGGGAAAATTTGAATATTGACAATTACATTAAGAACCTTGTTTACTTTATGGTAACTCTAAGTCAAATTGATGTCTATAAATCTTATCCTCTAATAATCAAAATTATTACAAATCTAGTAAGTTAGGAAACATTTAGTCTTGAAATGATGAAAGCTTTGTGATTAAGATGTACATTGGTTACAGTGTGAAAGATACTCTAGATGATTTGGGCTAAAAAATAAATATGTATGTACAGTTAGTTAACCAAATAACAGCAAAATAGTTTTTCTTTTGCCTCAGTTCACTGATTTTCTTTCCAAGGAGGTGTTACTGATGAATGTCTATGTATCAGATATCCTTTAGAAATGTTTTTTGCATATGCACACACACACATTTAATTTAAACTTCTGTGTGAGCATTTTGAACATAGTATTTTGAACCTTACTCTTTTGCTTAAGCTTACAGATCAATACATATTAGCAGACAAATATTGTTTTATATATATATATATACACACAGGTGTGAAACCTACTATAAAAATACTCATGTACTTACCATGCATCTTAAGGAATAGGCCATCAGCTGCTAATAATTTTCATAAGATTTCCCTGTATATAAAAATGAAAAATCTTTCATCACTTAAAAACAAAACTTTGTTTTCTTTTGTTGTAATTAAAAAATGACTATTATTCAAAGTAATCATGAAGAATTCCAATACTTTACATATTTGAACAAATAATTTTCATTTTCTTTATAATTTTCTTGAACTATAAAAAACTTAATGATAGAGTGTTCTATTTATTTTTTTTGTAAAGAAAAAAAGATTTCAGATTTCGCTGTTACTCTTTCCTTCCTTCCTTATTACTTTATTCCTTGGTGTTTTGAGTTACTGTTGCTTTTGTTACTATCCCAATTTTAACACACTGAATATTGATTACAAATGGTCTCAATATTTGGGGAGGGTGGCAAACAAAGTATAAAAGTATACAGATATGCCAGGCACGTATGGCCATTTTTAATTAGTCTTCCAGAAATATCTACCTTTTCTGGATTATTTTTCAGGTCTCAGATTATTTAATGGTGAAATATGATTAATTAGAAGTAATAGCATTCTATTGACTTTAGAAAAGAAGATAGACAGTATTCCCATTCATAGTTCTTCCATAGTAAACAACAAAGGATACCTATTCATTCCTACTGGAATATCTTATTCAACTTGGAAGATTTGGACTGGATTTCCCTTTCTCCCTTGGATTGTTCACTGTAATGCATACTCAGCAAATTGTAATTACCTGGCAAGACATAATATTATAGATGAATTTTCTTTGTAAAATGCTTGATTTTGAGAAAGGTTAGTTTATTTTTTACAAGTTTATTTTGCAGTCCAAACTTTTTTTTTTTTTTTTTTTTGACAAAGTTGGACAGTGAGAGAGAGAGAGAGAGACAGAGAGAAAGGTCTTCCTTTTCCATTGGTTCACCCCCGAAATGGCCGCTACGGCTGGCCATTTGTAATTGCAAGATTTCTGATTCCCAGTGTTCTTTCTTTCTTTTATTATAATGACACTTGATGGTGTAGTAACAACAAAAGGCAAGTGTTTTTGTATTATGACTTTGACTCTATGGAAAGCTATGAGCCTTTGAAAGTTCTAAAAGTGGCTTGTCAGGACTTCTGCATACTGATGACTACTCCTATTATGTATCATGAAGTTCATTTAAATATGTTTTAAGATGGTTTGTATTTTCTCATTTCTTTGTTAGAGCCAAATACCACAAGTTGAAATATGGGACAGAATTGAATCAGGGAGATATGAAGCCACCAAGCTATGATTCTGGTAAGCTATTTTAAAGGAAGTTTAAGTGAAAAAGAAGTTGATATCCAATATTTTGTAGTAAGAGCATTTATAACTGTAAGTTAATGTCTAATTATTTGTGTGTTGTATTTTCTGTTCTATTTATCTTTTGGCAGTAATCATTAGTATCATTTAGATAATTTTCTGCCACCTTCCTTCCTTTACCCTCTTCCCCGTTCTTTTAGTTTCTCATTTCCTGCTTGTGTTCTACACTTACTGGAAGGATTGGAATTCATGAGTAACATGTGTCAACTTATTCTTGTCTTGCTGGATCTGCCCAGCATTAATGGAAATTTTGAGATGTGCAGTAGAAAGTATATCATGCCCTTGAAATTCTGAAAGAGTAGGAACTGTAGAGGTGAGAGATTTCTCCTAAAGCACAGGAGAATTCCTAATTTGGATTTTCTTACAGGAGATTCTACACCCAGCATATGTTTTAACAGCTAAAACATTTTTTATGGTATTTCTTCTTTTTTCCTTCTCCTACTTTCCTCTTCACATTACCAGATAGTACTTGTAAACAATCAGGAATAATTAAGAAATATAGATACAATTTACTTACTAGTAGGTGTTAGGGACAAGTAAGAAAAATTATTCAAAAGTTGTCACTGTTTCACTGTTTTGTGTATACATGTAAATATTTCAAATTAAATTTCTTGGTCAAGTATCAGAAGAAATTAATGACCATTTATATCAATTACTGAAATATCTGCCTGCGTAAGGGACTCTATGTATCTATATTAACATTAATTGTTAAAATACGGCCGGCGCCGCAGCTCACTAGGCTAATCCTCTGCCTAGCGGCGCCGGCACACCGGGTTCTAGTCCCGGTCGGGGCGCCGGATTCTGTCCCGGTTGCCCCTCTTCCAGGCCAGCCCTCTGCTGTGGCCAGGGAGTGCAGTGGAGGATGGCCCAGGTGCTTGGGTCCTGCACCCCATGGGAGACCAGGAAAAGCACCTTGCTCCTGGCTCCTGCCATCAGATCAGCGCAGTGCGCTGGCCGCAGCGCGCTGGCTGCGGCGGCCATTGGAGGGTGAACCAACGGCAAAGGAAGACCTTTCTCTCTGTCTCTCTCTCTCACTGTCCACTCTGCCTGTCAAAAAAAAAACAAAAAAACATTAATTGTTAAAATAGTTAATAAAGATAACATTCTCATTTATGTGTGTGAAATTGATTTTTTTTTTTAAAGATTTAAAGGCAGAAATAAGGAGAGAAGAGAGAGAAAAAGAGAGAAGGAGAGAGATCTTCCATTTGCTGGTTCACTCCCCAAATGGCCTGAATAGCCAGGGCTGTGCCAGGCTGAAGCCAGGAGCCAGGAGCTTCTTCCAGGTCTCCCACATGGGTGACAGGGCCCAAGCACTTGGGCCGTCTTCCACTGGTTTCCCAGGCACATTAGCTGGGAGCTAGATCAGAAGTGGATCAGCTGGGACTTGAATCAGCACCCTTATGGGATTCTGGCACTGTAGGCAGAGGCTTATTAACCTTCTATGCCACAGTGCTAGCTCTATTGTGTTTGAAATTTAAGCTCTGAGAAGTAGAGAAACTTGTCCAAGGTTGTACAACTATTAAGTGATGATATATTTAGCTGAATCCAGGTCTGTCTGACTCTAAAATTCGTATTTCCATTTTACCATGCTGCATTCGTATTTGACAATGTATGAAAGAACTTTCCAAAATGAGTTCTAGATGTGCTGCCAATTTTATAGTTAATTCATTGTGGTACTGTATCAATATGTTGGTATAGCTAAATATTAAATCCTTGATATTTAGAGAAATATTAATTCCATGAATGGTATAATTTTTCCCTTTTTCTTTTTCTTTTTTTTTTTTTTAATATATATATATAGAAAGATCTTCCATCCTGTTGTTCACTCCCAAATGGCTGCAACAGCTGGAGCTAAGCAAGGCCAAAGGAACTTCTTCCAGGTCTTCCATATGGGTGCAGGGGCCCAAGGACTTAGGCCGTCTTCTGCTGCTTTCTCAGGCCACAGTAGAGAGCTGGATCAAAAGTGGAGCACCCAGGACTGGTGCTCATATAGGATGCTCATATAGGATGCTCATATAGGATGCTCATTCAGTGACTTAACCTGCTGCTACATTGCACTGGCCAACCACACTTTTTCTTAAGAGTGATGATGGGGCTGGTGCTGTGGCTTAGTAGGGGTAAAGCTGCCGCCTGCAGTGCTGGCATTTCATTTGGGTGCTGGTTCTCATCCTGACTGCTCCACTTCTGATCCAGCTCTTCTGTGGCCTACAAAAGTAATAGGAGATGGCCCAAGTCCTTGGGCCCCTGCACCTGGGTGGAAGACCCAGAAGAAGCTCTTGGCTCCTGGCTTCAGATTGGTTCAGCTCCGACTGTTGCAGCCATTTGGGGAGTGGGACAGCAGATGGAAGACCTCTCTTTCTCTGACCCTGCCTCTCTGTAATAACTCTGCCTTTCAAATAAATAAATAAATCTTTTTTTTTTTTTTTTTTTTGAAAAAGGAGTGATAAGAAGGAATTTGAAGGATCCTAATTAGGGTAATTAGGGCTGTTTGATCAGATTATCTCTTTGATCACACTGGCTATTGTATGGAAGATGGATTAGAGAACAGCAAAATCAGAGATGAGCAAACTGGCTAGAGAACAGTTATAGTCACCTGAGTAAATCGGAGGTTACTTTGACAAGGGTAGTAACAATAGACTTGAAGGATGTGTTCAGGAAATAGTTGGGAAGTAAAATCTCCAGGAACTTGTTCTTGATTAGATGAAGGGGATGAAACAGGGCAAGTCAAAGATGATTCTTGGATAGACTAGAAGTAGGAAAGTGGTGGGTTTACCTTTTGGATTTGTTGCTCAGGCAACCAAGTAAAGATAGCTGGTACTGCTGGGTGTATGGGTATACAGCTCAAGATAGAGGTCTGGTTAGATATGTGGATTTCAGTCGTATCAGCATATATTTTTGGTGGCACTCAAAGCCATTGAAGTAGAAGAAAACACTGAGGAATCTTATGTAGAGTGATAAGAGACCCTAAAATGGAACCCTGAGGAATGAAAGCATTTAAAATACTAGTAAAAGAATAGAAAACTGTTAAAGACTGCCTTAATGAGGAAAATTATAAGATGAGAATTTTAGAAGGAGTTAGTGTTCAGCACTCTTGATTAACTCTCAGATGGGTAGAGTGTCTGTAGAATTTAATGGCACACAGGTCACTGAAAACTTTATTGCCAGCAGTTTTAGGAGAAAGGTGAGGGCAGAAATGAAGAATGAATGGAAAACAAAGACTGAGTGAGTGCAGTGAACTTTCAGGAAGCCCAGGTAGTCAAAATGAAGAGTGATTACAGGGCAGTAGCTGAAAGGACACATGGGTCTATGAAAGAGAGAGAGAAAGACACACCGAGAGAGGCATGTTTCTTAGAGGAGTAATAAAAGGGAAAAAGTAGCAGGACCAGTGTTGTGGTGCAATGGGTTAAGCCTCCTGTGATGCTGCCATCCCATGTCAGAGCAACAGTTCAAGTCCCAGCTGCTCTGCTTCTGGTCCAGCTCCCTGCTACTATGCCTGGGAAGGCAGCAGAAGATGTCGCTAAGTGCTTGGGTCCCTGCCACCCATGTGGGAAACTCACATGGAGTTCCTGGCTCCTGGTTTCAGCTTGAGCCAAATCCCATTGTGGCCATTTGGGGATTGTGAACCAAGATGGGGAAGATCTCTGTCTCTCTCTCTAATTGTCTTTCAGATACATACATAAATCTTTTTAAAAGAAAGGAGAAAGTAGAGATGCTCAAAATAGGAATATATCTAAAGAAAGGATATGAATTGGATTCTGAACACAGCTAGAGACATACTGGAAAAAGAATATGTCTTTTATTATTGCCAAGAGCGAGTTTTAGTTAGGTGGTGTGTTTTTAAGCGAATTGTCCATATGATAGCTTTATATGTGCCACAGGATTCTCTGCTATGAGTGGGTCAGACATCTAAGACAATAGAGGAACTTTAAAATAGTGAGGGTGAACTGGAGGAATAGCAGGATCAAGAAAAGATAAGAATCTTGTTGGGGTGTGTGATTATGAGTTTATATAGAGGCACTGGTAACAAATTTGGTAGCCCAGGTAGAATCAAAGGGAATGTAGATAGATAATAGTTGAATTCATTGAATTCATAGGGAGACAAAGGTATAAGAAAATTGAGGATATTGGCAAAAGAATGCTATGCATGGACTACAATTAGAGAAAGAAGGAAGTGAAGATGAAAGGAAGCTAAAGTTGAAAAGGATATCAGCTGTGGGCTAGAACGGATCGGCCAGCTTCTTATGTAAAGGGCCAAAGTGTGAATACTTCTGACTTTGTAGGTTATGTGTTCTCTGTCATAGCTACTTAGCTCTGGCTTTGTAACAGGAAATTGTAACAGAAAGCATTTATAGACAATACGTAATTGAGTGAGTGTGTCTGTGTTCAGTGAAACTTTATAAAAATTGGTAATGGATTTGACCTGCAGGCAGAGGAGTAAGTGAATTGGAAGTAATTGAGCCTGAAGGATGTATGTTTGGAGAATGAGTATGCATCAATGATGATTCTTCATAATGACAAGATCTTGTGAAAGTTCAAGAAGGTGGTAGTTGTGCAGAGGCAGAAGTGGATAACCTATGTGAATATTCATTCAAGATGAAGTAGGGTATTCAAGGGATTTGTAGATAACAGTGATAAGGACAAAGATGAAGAGGCAGTAGAAAGTGGTGTATCCAAATAGTATTTTTTGCAAAAAATTATTATTTCCTTCTGATCCCCCCCATTTTCTTTCACTTTCAAATCTTTTATTTCTACTTTAGAAGAATGTTATCTCAGGTTGTGTTGAAAAAATATATTTGTCCTTGATATTTTAGTTTTTCCTGTTTTAGTATTATAAGCCAGATAGTTATTGAAAATAACTTGAATATGTTATTCAGTGTGATTATTGATATGGTTAGATTTAACTCTACTACTTCTGATTTTTATTTTCTATTTGGTAAATCAGTTCTTTGTTCCTTGTTTCTTTTTTTAACCTTGTAAATTGATTTTTATGACTCCATTTTGCCTCTTTAGCAGTAAGTGTTATTTTAGTGATTTTTTTTTTTTTGGTTAAAGGGTACATTTCTAACTTATTACAGCTTATCTTCAAGTAATAACAATACTGTTTCATGTGTAGTATGAGAACTTTATAACAATATGTTTCCATTTCTCCTCTACTTGCTTTTGTACTATTGTATATAAAATATATTGTCATATATCTTTACTTTCAATGTATGCTATAAACTACATCCTATGTTTTTATTTTTGTTTCAGCAGTTAATTCTCTTTCAAAGAAACTTAAAAACATGAAAAAATATTTCCAGTACTCATTATTCAATTGTGTAAATTCATATTTCCATCTGGTATTGTTTTCCTTCTGCCTTAAAGACATTTAAAAAAATATTTTGTGATATGGACTGCTGGAATGAATCCTTTCAGCTTTCATAATGTCTGAGAAAGTTTTGCTACTGATGAAATAAGTACCTGCTGTCATCCTTTGTCATCCTTTTTCTTTCTTTCTCTGTATATAATATGATCTTTTTCTATGGCTGCTTTTAAGGTTTTTTTTTGTCTTGGTTCTAAGTAATTTTATTATGATATACCTTGGTATAATGTTGTCTTCTTCCCTCTCAGTGTTTCATATGATTGTGATTTGTTGAGTTTCTTGGATATATGGATATGTAGTTGACTTGAAATTTGGAAACTTTCAGCCATTATTTTTTCCGATATTATATTTGTTCCATCTGCTTTTTCTGTGATTTAGAACTTACCAGGGCAGAAGCTGGGATGATCATAAGGCTCACTTGTTTGCTTTCTCTCAAGAATCACTGTTCCTTGTTGACTGATGTCCAGTGTCTTGAAAATCCTAGTTTTATCTCTTTTATACTTACTTCAAGTAGGGGGATGAATCTAGTTTCTGTTACTCCAACTTGACTGGAAGTGGCAGTCAAATAATTTTATTATTATAAATACTTATTATTATTATTATTCACTTCAGAATCCTTACTTTCATATAATATCACTTTTTAACCTTGATATGACAAGAAGAAATCTGATAGTTGGTGACTGTTTACTGTTCATGGATAGAACTGTGAGCTTGTGAGCTTCACCTGGCTAACGAAGTAAAAGAGTAATTTTAGCTTAAAAGTTTAGAAGTATATTCATATTTAATTTGTCTTATCTTAGTTTCTTTTAAGGTATAATTTGCATACATTAAAATTTACCACTTTAAGTGTTCACAAACACATACAATGTGTGGCTACTTCTTTCTAGTCAAGCCCTCCCTTCCCACTCTAATATCTTGGCAGCTAGTAATCTATTTTACATTTTTATAGTTTGCCGTTTTTAGAAAGTCATATGGATGCCAGAATCTTACAGAATGTGGCCTTTTGAGTCCAGCTTATCATCCGTGTTGGTATATATCAGTAGTTCATTCCTTATTCTTGCTGAGTAATACTCCATTGAATTGATGCACCACACTTTTGTAACATCAGTGGCAGCTGAAGTAGGTAGAAGTAGTTGAGCATGGCATAGAAAGGATTTGAGCCTATACTGATGAGAGATTAAGTAGCCTTAAAACTTCTTAAAATGCTAGTGTAAATTTTCTTACTTGGCATGTGCAGATTATTAATGACAATGGACTATATTGGAATATATGGTGTTATACAGAGTTACTGAATTTATGTAATAAGATGTATATTTTTTCTTTGGTATTACAGCATTGTTTTTGCCTTTTTTTTTTAATTTATTTGACAGGTAGAGTTTTAGACAGTGAGAGAGAGAGAGACAGAAGAAAGGTCTTCTTCTGTTGGTTCACTCCCCAAATGGCCACAGCTGGTGCTGCACCAATCCGAAGCCAGGAGCCAGGTGCTTCTTCCTGGTCTCCCATGTAGGTGCAGGGGCCCAAGCACTTGGGCCATCTTCCACTGCCTTCCTGGGCCACAGCAGAAAGCTGGACTGGAAGAGGAGCAGCCGGGACTAGAACCCGGTGTCCATATGGGATGCTGGTGCTGCAGGTGGGGGATTAACCAAGTGAGCCACGGTTAATTTCCCTCTTTTTTTTTTTTTTTTTACTGCCAGTCTACTATTATTTCTTGGTATATCACAAGATTTACCTAGTTATTTCAGAGTCATATAGGGGGAAGAACCAAACATAAAAAATCTAATTCTTATTTTTATTCACATGTACCTACAATTTTTTTTAAGGTTCATTTTTTTTGAAAGGCGGAGAGAGAGAGAGAGACAGAGAGAGAAAATCTTCCATCTGCTGGCTCACTTGCCAGATGGCTACAACATCTCAGCTGGGCCAGGCTGATGCCAGGAGCCTCGTTCAGGTCTCCCACGTGGGTGCAGGGGCTCAAGTACTTGGGCCATCTTCTGCCTTCCCAAGTACATTAATAGGGAGCTTGATCAGAAGTGGAGCAGCAGGGACTTGAACCTGTGTGCATATGGGATGCCAGCATTACAGAAAGAGGTTTAACCTATGCCACAGTACTGACCCCATCTCCAATTTCCTGTCATTATATTGATAGCATGTGGAGGAAAATGCTGGGATTCTAGAGTGAAACAGACAGAAAGTTAACTTCTAAAACTCAGTTTTCTTTTTTATATAATGGGGTTAAACAGCTGTCTTTGGAGGTTGTAAGAAGCAAGGATATAATGTATACATATTTTTAACACAGTGACTGAAACTCAATAAGCATGTAGTGAATGATTCATTTCAAACATAAACAAAAGCAAATTTTCATTTCATAAGTACAGTTCTAAGATGAGCAGTTTCTTATAGTTTGGTCAAAGACTGATAAAGTATGAATTCTTTGTTTTGTTAAAAAACAGTTGGGAATTTTTTCAGTTTGAACTTACTATGGAGAAAACTTTTTATTTCAGCAGTTTGAAAAAATTTAGCTTCTACCTAATGAAGAATTTAGCTTTAAAAGGTGTAAGAGATTTCCATTCAAGAATAGTCATTAAAAGAATATTTCAGATTTTTATTTAATAGCTAGTGGAAGAGACAGATTTGGATTGAGATTATTTCATGTATATCTACTTTTTACCAAACTGGTTATTTTGCCATCAGACCTGGGCATTTTGTTCTAGTTCTGATATGATACTTCATACTTTTATTTGGCTCTTACTGTGTGACTTATTGTATAGGTCTTTGCCCTGGAGGAATTTCTAGGTTACTTAAATAGTAGAGAAAATGCTATTATTTTAGTTCTACTCCAAGGGAATCCATTAGCAATAATTAATTTATATTTGAGTTTTGTTATAGAAATGAGAGTTGTAAAAACAATTTGCATTGTTCTAAAACAGACCTTACAATTGCAGTTTTACATATTTAATCTTTTAGATGTTTATTTGACTTTTTAAATGAATTGGGATGCCCTAAAGAAGTCAATTTTTTTATAATTTAATTTTTCTAGATGAAGGTAATGAAACAGAGGTGCAACCACAACAAAACAGCCAGTTAATGTGGAAACAAGGTCGGCAACTACTCAGACAGTAAGTATCCCAAGGTTAAATTATCCATGGTTAAAAGTGAAAAGCATATTTTCTTTGTTTATCCCCCAGAAACCTTTTATTTAACGTATACAAACTTCATGCATTTCATAAATACAACGTTAAGAATGTAGTGATTTTTCCCACTGTATCCACCCTCCCACTTGCTCACCCGTCGTTCTTCTTCCTCCTTCTCCTAATCCCATTCTTATTTTTTGCTAAAAACTATTTTCAGTTAACTTTATACACAGAAGATTAACTATACTAAGTAAAGAGTTCAACAAATAGTATGAGAAAAAATTGTTTCTCAACAAACGGCGCACTGTTCATTCAGGAGCGTGTTGTTTAGTCTCCATGTATTTACATATGTTCTAGAGATTCTTGAGCTGTTGATTTCCAGTTTAATTCCATTGTGGTCAGAGGAGATGCATGATATGATTTCAGTTTTTTTTTAATTTGTTGAGACTTGCTTTATGGCCTAGCCTGTGGTCTATCCTAGAGAAAGTCCATGCATTGGTGAGAAGAATGTGTTTTCTGCAACTGTAGGATAAAAACTTCTGTAGATAACCATTAGGTTCATTTGGTTATAGTATTGATTAACTGTTGTTTCCTTGCTGATTTTCTGTCTGGTTGATCCGTCCATTGATGAAAGTGGGGTATTGAAGTCCCCCCATTACTATTTTGTGGGGTCTATGTCTCCCTTTATATCCATTAGCATTTCTTTTTAATAGCCAGGTGACCTGTAATTAGGTGCATATACATTTATAATAGTCACATCTTCCTGTTGAACTGATCCCTTAATCATTAAATAGTGCCCTTCTTTATCTCTTTTAACAGTTTTTGTGTTAATGTCTATTTTGTTTGATAGTAGGATGGCTACCCCAGCTCTTTTTTTGGTTTCTGTTAGCATGGAATATCTTTTCCCTCCCTTTCACTTTCAGTCTGCATGTATCTTTGTTGGTGAGATGAGTTTCTTGTAGGAAACAAATAGATGGGTTTTACTTTTTAATCCATTCAGCCAATCTGTATCTTTTAACTGGAGAATTAAGGCCATTTACATTCAAGGTGACTATTCATGAGTAATGACTTGACCCTGCTGTTTTTCTATAAGTATTCTTGTTATTTACTTCGGATTTCCTTTGTACTTTTTTCATAGTGATGACCATGTTTCTGTGGTTCTGTGTGTAGCACATCCTTAAGTCTCTTTTGTAATGCTGGACAAGTGGTGATAAATTCTTTCAATTTCTGTTTGTTATGGAAGGTCTTTATTGCACTTTCATTCTTAAATGTGAGCTTTGCAGCATACAGTATTCTGGATTGACAGTTTTTCTCTTAAGACTTGGAATATATCTCACCATTCTGTCCTAGCATGTAGGGTTTCTGACGAGAAGTCCACTGTGAGTCTCATTGGAGATCATCTGAAAGTAATCTGGAATTTCTCTCGTGCACATTTTAGAATATTTTCTTTATGTTTTTCTGTGGAGAGTTTGATTACAATGTGTCAGGTGAGAATCTTTTCTGGTCCGTGTATTAGGATTTGTATGTGCTTCCTGTACTTGGATGTCCCTTAGTTTTCTGTAATTATTTCATTAAAAATATGTAATCTATTCTCTCTTTCCACGCTTTCAGGAACTCCTAAGACCCATGTATTGGGTCGTTTAATAGCATCCCATAAATTTCCAACACTGTCTCATAATTTTCTAGTTTCTTCTCTTTTTTTGGTCTAAAATTTCCAAAGATTTGTCTTTTAACTCAGATATTCTTTCTTCTGCCTTATGAGTCTGTTGTTAAGCCTTTCCACCACATTTTTATTTGTTCTATTGACTTTTTCATTTCCAATATTTCTTTTTTATTTCTCTTTAAAATCTCAATTGCATGGGAGAACTTTTCGTTCATGTCATGTATGGATTTCGTTAGTTCTTGGATTTACTTCTGATTACTCTGAATTCCATTTTTGGCATTTCTTCAGTCTCTTCATTTTCACATTCTAGTATTGAAGTGTTGTTGTGTTCTTTGGAGGCATCATGTTGTCTTCCTTATTCTTGTTTCTTGAATTGCAGTGTTTATTTTTAGGCATTTGTGGAGATACTTTTTGTGTTTTTTTTTGTTTGTTTCCCTTATGATGGCTTTTATCTTTAAACTGTGCCTCTGTGGATTAGTGGAGTGTCTCTTTTGGTGAATATGCAGAGGGGTGTGCTGAGTGTGGCCAAGAAGCTCTGTTCAGTATTCCAGGGTGAGGAAGTGTCCAAGGTGACTCCCAAATTGGGGATGGCAAATCTCTTTCTATCTTTTTTATTTTTAATAAGAGGGGAGGTTTAATCTACTCTGTTGGCAGTCTCATGCTTACCCTCTCTGCTCCAAGGAGATCAAGGCCTGGTGGCTAGCTGCAGTGGGTATAATATGCGTTTGTGTTGCCATAGCAACCACACAAAGGATCCATGCAGTTCTCACTGTGAGCATGGATCCCACAGCAGTGACCTTCACTAGGGAATCAGGGAGCCCCAAACTTGTGGAGCTGCCCACAGTGACTGCCCAAAAACCCAGCCACATCCTATGTCTTCACATGCAACTACAGTGTTTTCACAGTCCCAGCACACAGGCCTCCAACAGTCATGAGCACCTAGCCTCCTGTCACTTCTCCCTAGGCGTCTCCTCTTGGCTGGTTGCTGGGCATGCAGACACAAGCTGGCACAGCTGTTGCATATGTTCAAAATGGCATCCACCCCTTCTTGGCTAGTTACAGGATGCTGATGCTGGGTGGCTGGGGAGAGGGAAACATGCCCCTCCCCCTTTTTGCTACTAGATTGGCAAGTATACTGGAGCTCCAAGCTGGATTCAGGTCAGGCTCTTCTTGCAGCCTTATTGCTGGTGGTTTGGGCTACTGCATTCTGGTCTCACATCACTCTCTAAAGCTGGTGCTAAGACTCTTGGCTGTTGGGGTTCTGAGTTGTGTGTGTCCACACACTCTGCGTAGATCTACATTGTCCCTCTAATTTGTGTCTAGTTTCCTCTGCCATTTTCTCCCTAACTCTTCCCTGAGATTACACTCTGTCCACGGTGTTTTAACTGTCTTCCCGTAGACAAGAGCAGTAAGCTCCCTCCCTATCCTTTTTTTTTTTTAGAAAGCTTTTATTTAATAATTACAAATTTCATAGGTACAGCTTTAGCAAAATAGCAGTTCTTGCCCCAAGCCATTCTTCATTAAGATTCATTTTTAATTATCTTCATATACAGAAGATCAACTCTATACTAAGTAAATCTTTCAACAGTTTGCACCCACACAGACATACAAAGTATAAAGTACTGTTTGAAGACTAGTTTTATCGTTAATTCTTATAGTACAGGTCATTAAGACAGAGGTCCTACATGGGGAGCAAGTGTGCAGTGACTGCTGTTGTTGATTTAACAGTTGACACTCTTATAAATTTAGGACGTCAGTGATCACTCGAGGCTCTTGTCATGAGCTGCCAAGGCTATGGAAGCCTCTTGAATTCACCAACTCTGATCTTCTTTAGACAGGGCCATAAGCAAAGTGGAAGTTCTCTCGTCCCTTCAGAGAAAAGTACATCCTTCTTTGATGACCCCTTCTTTCCACTGGGATCTCACTGACAGAGATCCTTCATGTAGATCACTTTTTGCCACAGTGTCTTGGCTTTCCATGCCTGAAATGCTCTCATGGGCTTTTCAGCCAGATCCGAATGCCTTAAGGGCTGATTCTGAGGCCAGAGTGCTGTTTAGGGTGTTTGTCATTCTATGAGTCTACTATGCGGCCTGCTTCTCATGTTGGATCATTCTCTCCTTTTTAATTCTATCTATTGTTACTACCAGACACTTGGTCTTATTTATGTGATCCCTTTGACACTTATTCCTATCTATATCATTAGTTACACACTTAAAATGATCACTTTAACATGTGCTCCCTTCCTCTTCTGCCATCTTGATTTCTCCTAGCTCTGAAAAGTATATGTTCATGAGATTATTTTGTGTTGTTACTAGAATAATTTTATCTCATTATCATACTGCTATGAAAAAGTTTATTACCTTCATATTAAACACGTCTTTTCTCTGGTGGTGTTCATATCATTAAAAGATTATATATATTGGCTGGCGCTGCGGCTCACTAGGCTAATCCTCTGTCTGTGGCACTGGCACCCTGGGTTCTAATCCCAGTTGGGGTACCGGATTCTGTCCCGGTTGCTCCTCTTCCAGTCTTGCTCTCTGCTTGGCCTGGGAAGGCAGTGGAAGATGGCCCAAGTGCTTGGGCCCCTGCACCCGCATGGGAGACCAGGAGGAGGCACCTAGCTCCTGGCTTCGGATCGGCGCAGCGCAGCAATTTGGGGGGTGAACCAACGGAAGGAAGACCTTTGTATCTGTCTCTCTCTCTCACTGTCTACAACTCTCTCTGTCTCTCTCTTTCACTGTCTAACTCTGCCTGGCCAAAAAAAAAAAAAAAGGTTCTACATATTTAAATTATTCTTTTCACTACATATTTTGTGGAAGAATCTACATTTGTTTTAGGATTGTTTAGTCAGTGCTTATATATAATTTTTTATGTTTTTACACTTTTAATTTTAAATGGATTAAAGAACTTTTTTTAATTCCCCATTTTTCTGAAAATGATTTTATTTATTTAAAAGACAGAGTTACAGACAGAAAGAGGTCTTCCATCCTTGGTTCACTCCCCAAATGGCTGCAATGGCTGGATCTGAGTCGATCTGAAGTCAGGAACCAGGAGCTTCTTCCAGGTCTTCCATATGGGTGCAGGGGCCCAAGCAATTGGTCCATCCTCCACTTTTTTCCCAGGAGAATTAGCAGGGAGCTGGATAGGAACGGGAGCAGCCAAAACTCAACTGGCTCCCATATGGGATACCAGTGCTGCAGACTGGAACTTTAACCTACTGTGCCACAGCACTGGTCCCTTAATTACCCAGTTTTGCAAATATTCTATAACATATACTTTTTCTGCTAACATGTATATCTTTGTCCAAAGAGGAAAAAAAGCTGGGTTGAGGTTCTGTTATCAAGTAGTTGTACAGACCCACTTACTAGCTCAGTGCCTGGTTCTTGCATACTGTCTTTGAAACTGGTATTCAGATTTATGGCTCAGTAAAATAAAACTTACTATGTAATTTGGTTTTTTGGAGTCATTTACATGTAGTTTAAACCTGTGGTTTCTAAGTTGAATAATGCTATTCATTTCTATTTATCATGGAAAGAGAATATTAAAGCGTCTCCTTATATCTGGTTTTTTTTTTTTTTTTTTTTTGGTCTCGATAAAGTAGAAAAAAAAGAGACTACTAACCTGAAATAAGTGGATTTTCACTAATATTTTCATTTGGTCTTAAATATGACTTAGGGCATTTCCCTTTTTTATATAGATAAGTGTTTTTAAAATACTGGTCTTTTTGTTATGAGAAGTGGTTTCAGAGGAGCTGTTTGGGAGATATTTTGGAAACTTAAAAATCCACAGCCTACCAGTTAAAGAAAAAGTGACATTTTTATAGTGTATGATAAAGTAACCATTTAGTAAATGATCTATGGCAAGAGCATTTTTCTTAAAAAATTATTTTCATTTTATTTGAGACAGAGATAGAAAGATTTTCTCTGTGCTGATTCACTCCCCAAATGCCCACAGTAGCCTAGGGTGTATCAAACAGAAAGCCATCAGTCTAAGACTCTGGCTGGATCCTTAGTGAATAGCAGGAACTCAAGTACTTGAGCCATCATCTGCTGCTTTCCATGGTTTATACTAGCAAGAAGCTGGATCAGAAGCAGAGTTGCTGGGTCTCAAACCGTGTATTGGGATATGGGATGTGGGTGTCCCAGTCAGTAACTTAAATCACTGTGTTTAACCCTGCCCCATATGAGCAGTTTTGAAATAAGTATTTGCAATGAGATTTTTGTTGCCAAAATGAGTTATATATCAAATATTATTTTTCAAAAATAGAAAATTATAGCCCTTTTGTAGTAGTTTCTAAGAATGTTTGATTAAATTCAGAAAAATAAAAAATGTGTTCTAAATTTCATTAAAGACCATTCTATAAATATTGCATGGGTTTGAAAAACAAACTTCTTGATTTGATAAGATGCACTTATTCCATTTGATCACATGTCTTTGTGAAGTATTTCACTTTCAGTAACTGTTAAAATCAAATCTTGGGATTGGTGTTGTGGTGTAGCAGGTTAAGCTGTCACCTGCAATGCTGACATCTCATGTGAGCACTGGTTATAGTCCTGGCTGCTCACTTCTGATCCAGCTTCCTGCTAATGCACCTGGGAAAGTAGCAGAAGATGGCCCAAGTGCCAGGGTCTCTGCAACCCACATTGGAGAACTAGATCGAGTTTTAGGCTTCTGGGTTTGGCCTGGCCCAGCCCTGGCTATTGCAGGGGGAATGAGCAGCAGAAGAAATATCTGTTTCTCTTTGTAACTCAGCATTTCAAATAAATTAATAAGTCTTTTTAAAAAGTAAAATCTTGAGACAAACAAACTGGTTGTCTTGTAAACCTTTGTTTCCTTTTTTCATCTGGTAGAGTCCATTTCTCCTTTCATGTTAATGCCTCACGTTTTGTCTCCTGTTTATGAACAGCCTTTGCCTTTTTCATTATTTTACTACTGCCAGTTTTGGTCTTTTTGGGTAAATGTTGGTGTTGGTAGGTAGGAAGTGCTTTCTACCTGCTAGATTCAGGATTAGGCATGTCTGTTTTAGGAGAAAGAAAAGTGAAGTTTAGGGCAATTAAAATTGCACAGCAAGTAAGTGACAGAATTGATTATAGACCCAGATCTAACTCTCAGTATAAAGTGTGTGCACTTTTTTTGTTTTGTTGCTTCTCTGTAACTCATACATATACATGTACACACATACACCACGTAGCTCAATTTGATTGCAGTCTATTTTTAGAATTTTCTCTGGCTTGAAGATTGCCTTCTATAGAAATGACTCTACACCAGAAACATTCCTGTGTATCTCAAACAATTGATCCATGACACTTTACATTAGAAATGTAAACAAACTAGTGGAATCACTATAATAAAATTCTAATTTGGTAGAATTTGGGAGTGAGCTTACTGCAGGCCTGCAAAAAGAAAAGAATGTGCTCTGGGATATATTAAAGAACAGCATCGTCTTATGATGAATGAATGGTGTATTGTATAGTTCTTTGATTTTTCTCAGTGACTGTAGAGGCTGGTACTGCAAGAGACAGCTCCATCTGCAGCTGGAAGATTATTTAGTAACAAGCCTTACTAGCATAGTACTGTACTGTTAAGTCTTATGCAGGCAAGAATTTGAAGAAATTCTTTTATTTACACATTAAATTATGGAATTCCAATGTGACTGAATTATAAGGATCCTCTTCACACAGGTATCTACAGGAAGTGGGCTACACAGATACTATTCTAGATGTGAAATCTAAACGAGTGCGAGCTTTGTTGGGCTTTTCAAGTGATGTCACTGACAGGGAAGATGACAAAAATCAGGATTCAGTTATAAATGGTACAGAGGCTGAAGTTAAAGAGACAGCGATGATTGGGTAAGTATTTTGTCTGAAAAATGTTTTAGTTATAATTTTAGTTCTTATGAAATATTTCTGCTTTTATGTGTGTTACTTGGACTTTTAGATAGTGAAATAGAAATAATTAAGACAAGTTTAATAAAAATATTAAAATTTCATTTGGTTTGAGGGCAACATGGGGATTAGAGTTAACATTTATGATTATGTTAAGTCATGAAAATTTGGAGCGTTATTTTTTGCTTGGAATTTATTTAATGTAGATTTGAATATCTGAAGCTCAGGCATCTACTGTTAGGATCTTATTTTAAAATTTTGTATGAATTTATAGGAAAGAAATTTCATTTACATACTTAATTCTTTAGAAGTTAACCTTTTCTTAACAAGTTTGGTTTATATAATAATGCTGTAGCTCAGCTTTGCTTTCAAGTTAAAATACCTCATTTAAATATATATTCTTTAATTGACACAGTAAGTGTGAAAAATTGAATAGCTGCTTAAAATATGTTGCTTTTCATTTTGAATCATATACAATTATACATAATTCTACTGAAAATGAACATGACAGTTCAATAAAGATATTATTTATTAGAAAAAGTTTGTCATGCTTTTTAATAGAATAAAAAGTCAGATTCTGTGAAAGACTAAGTGTGAGATTACATTATTTTAATACTTATTTAGGCTGGAAGAATGGTTTTAGTTGTACTCTAAATTTCTAGTGAGTACACAGTTCCTGTTATTTGAACATAAACTAGAATCATATGATTAAGTAAAGATTCAAAGTGGAACTTTTATTAACAAAGGTCATTGGAATATTCTTAAATATTTATTTGATTATGAATGCATTAGTTTGTATTCGTAAGTGGGAAGTAGACATACAGACTTAAACTTAAGTCATTAAGTTAGATTTTAAATATTTTTAGGGACTGTAATGCATACTTAAAAAAACCTTTAGTGAAGACTTTCAGGAAAGATCTGTATGTTTTGGTGTTGACCTGTGTTAAGAAAGATGTTACTCTGAATCTTAACAGAGTTCTGTAGGAATGAGCAATAGAAATGGGAAAAGTGAAAAATATGGTTGACAACAGATTTGAAATTTAAGATTTATTTCTTTTGGAAATTTTATTCATAGTTGTGGTTAAGTTTCTTTAGGGAAGTACCTTTGTATCTAAAACATTTTTTTGGCGAGGGAGCTTGAAAATGTTTTATTCCTCTCTTCCTTCCCAACTCAGTTTGCTTCCTAAAGAGAAATCAATTGTACAGAAGGCCTCAGTTATAAATGTTCAGTTCCTCTGCTCTTAGAAATCCACCTGATTTTGACCCCAGCTGGGGGTGTCCCTGTGAAGGAAGCATGGGGAGGAGAGACCCCCCGCCCCAGTGTGAGATTTGCAGTGTGTTGGGGGCACAGTGGAACCAACAGATTACCTGGAATGTCCTGGAGGTCTTGGTGGGGAAGCCCCAGTGCAGCAGAGACTGGGGGTTGAACTGCATATGTCGTTACACAGCCCTATGACTTCCAGCCTGAGCTCAATTTTGCAGGTGAAGAGAGAGGGGAGCAGTGGACATTGCAGAGGGCACCCAGGCAGCTGAGGGGGTGGCTGGAAGGCTCAGAGGAGGGCAAGGGAACTGGACAACGATTGTGACTCCTGGAAGCTCTAAAACACTTTCTAATGTGGAGATACCATTTTGTTCTGACCATTAGTAAAACTGTTCACCAGGTGAATTTTGAAGGAACTCAACACAAGTATTAAATATTGGAAAATTCGTTTCTAAAAAATAAATGGTTTCTTTATCAACAGGATCAAGTCTTATAGTAATATGAATTTGAGTAATGTATTGTTTTTAATAACTGCATATTTTCTCTTTTTCATCTCTTCAGCTATTCAGCAGAAATAAAAGACTGCAGCAGAGGAAAATGATATAGTTACTAGTTCTTTTTTTTTTTTTTTTAAGATTTGTTTTATTTATTTGAAAGAGTTACAGAGAGAGGTAGAGACAGAGAGAGAGCTCTCTTTCATCTGCTGATTCACTCCCCAAATGGCTGCAACAGCTAGAGCTGGGCCGATCCAATGTGAGGAGGTAGGAGTTTCTTCAGGCTTCCCATGTGGGTGCAGAGGCCCAATTATTGGGCCATCGGCCGTCGCCGTGGCTCAGTAGGCTAATCCTCCGCCTTGCGGTGCCGGCACACCGGGTTCTGGTCCCGGTCGGGGCGCTGGATTCTGTCCCGGTTGCCCCTCTTCCAGGCCAGCTCTCTGCTGTGGCCAGGGAGTGCAGTGGAGGATGGCCCAAGTGCTTGGGTCCTGCACCCCATGGAAGACCAGGATAAGTACCTGGCTCCTGGTTTCGGATCAGCACGGTGCGCCAGCCGCAGCGTGCTGGCCGCTGTGGCCATTGGAGAGTGAACCAACGGCAAAAGGAAGACCTTTCTCTCTGTCTCTGTCACTGTCCACTCTGCCTGTCCAAAAAAAAAAAAAAAAAAAAATGGATAAAAGGATTGGGCCATCCTCCACTGCTTTCCCAGGCGCATTAGTAGGGATCTGGATCGGAAATGGAGCAGCCGAGACTCGAACTGGCACCCATATGTGATGCTGGCGCTGCTGGCCAGGGCTTCTGCACCACAGCGCCAGCCCTACTAGTTATTTTTTTACTGTGGAAATTTGTGTATGAGATCAAAGGAAGAGACAGAGATAATAGGAAAAAAAATTTTTTTGAATTTTATTTGAAAAGCAAAGAGTTAGGAACAGAGATTTTCCACTCACTGGTTTGCTCTCCAACTGCCTGCAACAGCCAAAGCTGGATCAGACCAAGGCCACCCGAGTCTCCCACATAGTTGGAAGGGACACTAATACTTGTGCCATCATCACCTGCTGCCTCCCAGGCTGTGTATTAGCAGGAAGATGGAATTGGAAGCAGAACTGGGACTGGAGCCCTGGCATTCCCATGTGGAATGTGGACATCTCAAGTGCTGTCTTTAACTGCTTTATCAAATGCACCTACCCTGAAAAAGTGATTTAAAAAAAAAAAAAAAGGAACACGTTAGAGTTGTAAGAACCAAAGAAATATGGAATCAGTAATGCAAGTACTTTTCTAAAAGAGAAGCCACTTCCTATGTTGCTTTCTCAGTTAATCCACAGAAATGTAATAGTTAAGAATCAATGTAGGTAATAATAGGATTTGGGGCTTATAATTACAGCATAAACAGAAGTTAGTGCAACACATCATAAACTAATTTTTATGTTGAGGTTAAAAAATGTAACTGAGCTTATGTATCTATTTTAAACCAGAAAATCCGAATTAACGGATTCTGCCTCTGTACTGGATAATTTCAAATTCCTTGAAAATGCAGCTGCAGATTTCAGTGATGAAGATGAAGATGATGACATGGATGGAAGAGAGAAAAGTATCATTGATACTTCGACGGTGAGTGAGATAACTTAGATAACATAAATACTTTTAAGAACTTTAAGAATCCATGTCCTTCAGTCAAAATCCTTAACTTTTTTTTCCTCCATAAATTTTTTGAAATTTAAGGGTATATTTTGATTTCAAATTTAAGAATATTTTTATAATAGTAACTTTCCCCTAAAAGTCTTTACTTTTCTTGTTAATTCCTTAAATGTGACAGCTTTTCTGTAGGGCCGGTGAATGTGATAAATGTGTGCTGTAACATTGTAGTGTTATTGGTTGCTAAAAGACATTTGAACTCAGGCATACCTTGGGGCCTGATGGTAACTAGGGTCCACTTTAATCAGTGCAGTTGTTGTCACTCTTGGGAGGTTTTCTTTGGTTATTCTATAGACTTTCAAAATTCTTCCATTAGATATCTTCAGAATTGTTTAGGATTCTTCTGTAGTTTTGTCCAGAGCTTTAGAAGTTTATTGAGAGCTTTAAAAGTTTATTGCCTTTCTTGTGACACTTTCCTGAAATAAGAGATGTCTAAATTGCTGCTCCTTCCTTCTCTTTTTTTGTCTATTTTCTTTCTCCTTCCCTTTCTCCTCTTTTCTTTCTACCCCCTTTTCTTTATGGCAGCTTTTCTCCTTCCTCTTTGTCCTTTTTTTGTCTTCCACCTCTTCCTTCTTTTTAAATTGAGGATGAGGGCATACTTTGCTTTGTTTAGGAAAATATTTGCATTTCCTCTTTCACATTTATATAATAGAATAAGTCAAATAATATAAAGCAGACTGGATCTAGAGTTTAAGTCCCAGTTCTGCCACTAATTATGCTTCTTGCTTTTTAGTTTGTAAAATGAGAATTATAATAAGTACACATCCTATCCCTGGAGGATTTTGTGAGGAACAACAACAAAATTACATGTGAAAATGATGTGTTTAACTATACGGTGCTTTATAAGTGTAACTTCTCTGTTTTTTATATATCTTCCTTCAGGGCTTCATCAGAGACTCTCAAATTATTAGGCCAGGTTATTGCTTCCAGAGTATTCAGTACTTTGCTGATATGACCCTGCTGTGAATATGTTCTGAACTTCAGATGTAACCCCAGATTTTTCTTGTCCAAACTATTAACAGTTGTGTATATCTTGATTTAATTATAGTAAAGAAAAAGCCTAAACTTCTGTGACAGTTTTTCTCCATCTAATTATCTGGAAATTGTGTTGTTCTTTGTGATTTCTGTGATATGATTGCATTGAGAAATTATTTTTACTGATGGAATACTTTATTAATAGCTCAGTGGGAAATAATAATTCCATGATAGTGTAAATTTTTTGTTAGTGATTACATCAGTTTAAATATTTTAATAATCTGTAATCTGATTATTAAACTACTATATTATGATCTTCTTAGAAATTCTTAAATGTAAGCTAACCATTTGATTTCTTAATTTGTAACCATTTGGTTTCTTTTTAAGTAATCAAACTCATAAATATACTGTCTTCCAGTTAGTGCAGATCATAGCAATCCCGTGACCAAGCAGTGAAGGAACATCTTATGTAAACTGATGTAACTCCATTCAGGCGCTATACTCAAAATATTCTTGTAGTTTTACAGGCAAAAAGATTTCAAAACAAATACCTGGTTTTGTTATAACAGTGTTGCTGATTTTTGCATTATAATACATTAACATTCACAGCTGCAATCTGATAGCTACTTGCCAAAAGGATTTTAAAAGTCTATTTAGTAGTGAATAAGCGTTACTTCGGAAATTTATTACATTCTGTAGAGAAAATGGCTGAAATTATTAATTATCCTATTAAAATGTTAATAGAACAAATAAGTTTTCAAAATGTTATTTTATTTCTTTAATCAAAGTAGTTTAATGGATTTAACTAAGAAAATACAGAAACATAAACTCTTCGTACCTGCAGGTTGTATTTAGAATATTTTATTGCAGAGTCTCCATAGCCCATCTCCTCTCTTTTCTTTCTCTTTGCTCTCTTTGGAGTGTGATTGTTCCTTGGGTAATGTACTGGATTATGTTTCTTCTAGGCAGCTTTCCCATCCTCAGGATCAACCTCTTCACCATATTTTTCTTTACCATCACGATTACCAGCATTTTCACCATCAAAAGTTACATATTGTAAATATCTTGAAATCATGCAAGAAAGGAAAAAGTGATTAGTTTCAAAGTGAAGGATAAATTTTGCAACAAAATTTAAGTAATTGAATTGAAAATTATTAGCTGTTCTTTTAGTCAAGTTTAAAGAATACCATCCCCTTTAGTGTTCTGCTTCTTCTAGTGGTTTTCAGAATAGCATGTCTGTATTTCATATCTGTTCAACACCCTGTGCAACCCATAACTTTTTTGTTTTTGTCATCATTTTTACAAAATACATTTATTTATCTGAATGGTAGAGATGTGGCGGGGGGGAGAGAGAGAGAGAGAGGGAGAGAAAGAGAGAAGGTGACAGATATAGATAATCTTCCATCTGCTGGTTCATTCCTTAAATGACCACAGCAGCAGGGTCTGGACCAGGCCTAGACAAGGAGCCTAGACAAGGTACTCCATCTTGGTCCTCCCACATGGGTGGCAGGGGCCAAGTACTTGGGCCATCTTCCACTGCCTTCCCAGGCCTGTTACCAGGATACTTGATTGGAGTGGAACAACTGGGACTAAGCTGGCACTCCAATACCGGAGTTTTGCATGGGATACTGGCATTTCAAGTGATGACTTAACCATGCTGGCCCCATGTCACTTCTTAAATTGATTTGGAAGCACAGGGCAGAAGTGGCGTAGAACCTTCTGTGTAAGGAGAGAAAATAATAAATATTTATTACTACGGATCCCACCTCTTCCCATTTACTAATCATATCTCCATTGGAAACAACAGATCATTTTAAAAAAAAGATTTATATATTTATTTTGAAAGGCTTACAGAGAAAGGGAGAAACAGTGAGCTCTTCCATCCCCTGGTTCACTCCTTAGATGGCTCATTGGCCAGCACTGAGCCAGGCCGATGCCAGGAGCCATGAGTTTCATCTCGGTCTCTCATGTGGGTGGCAGCGGCCCAAACACTTGGGTCATCTCCTGCTGCTTTTCCCAGGTCACAGTGAACTGGATCAGAAGTGGAGCAGCTGGGACATGAATTGGCACCTATCTGGGATGCTGGTGTCACAGGCCACAGCTTTACCCACTAGGCCACAATGCCAGCCCCACCACCAGAGATCATTTTCCCCCTTACATTTAAGCATAAGAAACACAGAAGTTTTATTTTAATTGTTTTAAAACAGAATACTTGATAGTGATCTGCAGTGACAGGGATAAACTTACCATCTTTCTCCATTTTTTGTAAGGTGTACTGAGGAAATTTTTTTTTTTTTTACATTTTATTTATTTGAGAGGTAGTGTTACAGAGAGAGGGAGAGACAGAAAGAAAGGTCTTCCATCTGCTGGTTCACTCCCCAGATGTCTGCAATGGCCAGAGCCAGGCCGATCTGAAGCCAGGAGCCTGGAGCTTTGTCCAGGTCTCTCATGTGGGTGCAGGGGCCCAAGGTCCTATACCATCTGCCACAGCTTTCCCAGGCCATGGCAGAAAATTGCTGCTCCACTTTCGATCCATGAACCAGTGTCCATGTGGGATGCTGGTGCTGCAGGCAGAAGCTTAGCCTGCAACACCACAGCACCAACTTGGAAATAAGTCTTAGAAACAGAATTTCCCGCAAGTTGCTTTTATGACTGAAAACCATATTTAGTAATAACTAATGCTGAAAATGTATTCAGGCTTTTACTTTGAGATTCCAGATTCTTATTGATTTACCCTGCCATTTTGTCAGGCATTAAAACAAGTACTCTCTACCTACCAGGTGCTGGTGGTGGCCCCTCTGAATTACAGCCAGTATCCTGTGAGGGTCAGAGAAGGCGTGTAGTCAGTCCTCTAGGCTAGCCGAAAGTAGAATGGAGAGTAGATTTGTATATGGAATGTGAGGATCAGGGCGTCCTGTTGGTAACTTTTCAGAGACAGTTTTTATGCCTTAGTCCAGACTATCTAGGGAAAATCAGAATAGATATAAGCTTATGGTTTGTCAGTACACTAAAGAATGCATGTTCAGCATCAATTTCCTATTCAAAATCTGCCATACTAATCTCTTTTGTTTGTTTAATAGATCTAGTAGATGTTAGTTTGGAAACTACCATAAGCATAGAAATATGTCTTGATTTTAGGGAAATATTCCTAAAAGTTAAACTATTTTGGGGCCAGAGTTGTACAGTGGGTTAAGCGATCACCTATAATGATGGCATCCCCTATGAGCAGTGATTCAAGTCTTGGCTGCTTCACTTCCAATCCAGCTCACTGCTGATGCGCCAGGGAAAGCAGACCATGAGCCAAGTATTTGGGCCTCTGCCATCCACGTTGCAGACCCAGGTGTAGTTCCTGGCTCCTGGTTTCAGCCTGGCCCAATTCTGGCTGTTGTGACCATTTGGGGAGTAAACCATAGATGAAGACCTCTTTCTCCGTCTTTCCCTCTCTCTCTCTCTCTCTCTCTCTGGCACTTTGTCTTTCAAATAAATAAGCAAATCGTAAAACAAAAAGTTAAACTGTCCTAACGCCATTACATGATCTATGGTTTCTTCTGTTCAGTTCTTGTACATATACAGGACAGTTAAGGTAGGTAGTTTTCATTTGTGATGCCAACTTGGTTTCGATGGTAATGGCTTCTGTTGGTAGTGGTTCTGTTGGGAGTGTCGTGTTGAGAAGGATTTCGGAGACTGTGGCTTATTATCTTTAGTGAGAAGTGCTGTCTTCGAGAAGTGTTAGCAATTATGGACATGGAAACAGGACCATACAAATCAGGTGTTTCTTATCTGCCTCATTGAAATATATGTTAAACCTTTATAATTTTAAACCACTCAGAAAAGACCAGGGATAACATTTAGTCAGATTATGTTATTTCTTTTTTGTATAAAGTGAAGAAACTGAGATCTGGAGTCATATAGAGTCATTTTGTCAAAAAACAAAACAAAACCACACAACTGCAAGCTAGTGATCGTAATTTATCTGTGCTCATAGTGATGGAGATATCCAAACAGGATAATTCATAAAGATCATAGGTGTGTAGACCTCAGAAATCATCTCTGCACTCAGTAAACTTAAATTCTAACTCTATTTAACTGCATTTATGATTCTGTAGGTACTCTTAAATATATAAAAATGAGTCCTAGCAACCCCTACCAAATTTAATATCTAAGTCATCTCACTCTGGAAAAATCAATATTTTAGAGAGAAAAAAAGAATATATGGAGAATTGTTGGAGAAATGTGATGCAAGGTTAGCACAGTAAAAATAATAATGGAATCTAACAGAGCACCAGTACTTCTTAAGTCTTAAGCAAGTGTTTCTGAATTTGTAGTTTTTGTAATTTTAGGTTTTGTGAGCAAGTGATAGAGGTATAAAAATCATGGTTATAGTCTTAAAAACTGCTGAAGTGTTTTATAAAATGTCTCTCCTGTTTTGGCTAGATTAAAATATCTGCAAACTGTAGATTGCATCCAAGAAATCTAAGATTTAGTTTTGGTTCTCACAGTATGCTAGAAACATTTTTCAAGTATCTGTAACTTAAATGCATATCTTATTTTCCTAATGATTTCAGTATGCTTCCATTAGATTGTCTAAAAAATGGGAACATTTAAATTATTTAAAATAATGAAAACACTGTTTAAACATTCATACCATTGAGCAAATTTTAAATCACTGGTTTAAATTGTATAATGTACATCTTTTAAAAATGATATTTGCAGTTTTCATTCAGTCAGGTTATTCAGAAAGATACTTTTTTTTTAAATAAAAAATTGACTTTTCTCAACAGTAAAGGGATGCTGTCTCCTTTTATTTAATTTTATTTAAATCAAATTCATAACATTTTCATATTTTAATGTAGCATGTTTTTTCATTAGATTGTTAGGAAAAAAACATTGCCTGATAGCAGTGAAGACCGAGATACAAAAGAAGCTCTAAAGGAGTTTGATTTCTTGGTTGCATCAGAAGAAGGAGACAATGAATCAAGAAGCACAGGTGATGGAACAGACTGGGGTAAGGAAGCATACTGGATCTAGTCATAAGTGTTAAGTAAATCAAAGAAATGAATGCTTTATCAGGTAGGTGACATCTTCAAGAACTGTAATGTGGAAATATTGAACAACCTATGGACTTTTTACTGCTGTCACCTATTATCCAGAGTATGTATATGTGTGTTAAGAAAGATTGAATAATTAGTAACCTTTTCATTTTTATATACATCCAATATAATATGAAAATAATTTGGGGCCTGTGCCATGGCTCACTTGGTTAATCCTCCGCCTGAGGCACCAGCATCACATATGGGCACTGGGTTCTAGTCCCAGTTGCTCCTCTTCCAGTCCAGCTCTCTGCTGTGGCCCAGAAAGGCAGTGGAGGATGGCCCAAGTGCTTGGGCCCCTGCCAGGAGGAAGCACCTGGCCTCCTGGCTTTGGATCAGCACAGCGCCGGCCATGGTGGCCATTTGGGGAGTGAACCAACGGAAGGAAGACCTTTCTGTCTGTCTGTCTCTCACTGTCTATAAGTCTACTTGTTAAAATAAATAAATTTAAAAAAATAATTTTAATTAAAATACAGAATATTCTGTTTTCTGCTGTAATATTTACTAGACAGTACACCTTGAAAATCTTGATTTTGAGGAAATTGAGGGACTATGGTAGAGAATTTTGGAGGTGTCATCTCTGGCATCTTCTGTGCAAAGTGTGAATTAAAAATTGTAGTTACTCACTTTAGTTTAGGTTTCAATAATTCAAATAAGCCTTAGAATTTATTTTTCTTATTTTTTTCCTCAAATTGTTTTAAATGAATCTAGTATTTTAAGCACCTAATAAAAGTTAAACACAAGTGTTTTTGGAGAAAACCTCTGTAGCATAGATCATTCTAATTTAGGATTGCTTAGATCAATATCAGTTGGTGGGATTGTGATAAATTCTTCAGAAATGATCAGTTCTATCAGAGGGGTATGTGTGTGTATGTGTGATGTGTATGCATGTGTATAATTAATGAATGAGAGAGAATGAGAATGAAAGTTTTCTTTTGAAGTTAAAGAATTCTAGAACTCAAGTAGCTTATGCTCTATACCTTAGAAATAGATAAGGAGGAAATGTACAGTTAGGCACACATTCCCATTGACTTATCCCTAAGGGTAAAGCTAAAAACTTGCCATGGGACTTCAAATCCCATTAAGCTGGGTGGTACTAATGCCATCTTACATGTTAAAGTGATCATTTTAAGTGTGTAACTAATGATATAGATAGGAATAAGTGTCAAAGGGATCACATAAATAAGACCAAGTGTCTGGTAGTAACAATAGATAGAATTAAAAAGGAGAGAATGATCCAACATGAGAAGCAGGCCGCATAGCAGACTCAGAGAATGACAAACACCCTAAACAGCACTCTGGCCTCAGAATCAGCCCTTAAGGCATTCGGATCTGGCTGAAAAGCCCATGAGAGCATTTCAGGCATGGAAAGCCAAGACACTGTGGCAAAAAGTGATCTACATGAAGGATCTCTGTCAGTGAGATCCCAGTGGAAAGAAGGGGTCATCAAAGAAGGATGTACTTTTCTCTGAAGGGACGCGAGAACTTCCACTTTGCTTATGGCCCTGTCTAAAGAAGATCAGAGTTGGTGAATTCAAGAGGCTTCCATAGCCTTGGCAGCTCATGACAAGAGCCTCGAGTGATCACTGACGTCCTAAATTTATAAGAGTGTCAACTGTTAAATCAACAACAGCAGTCACTGCACACTTGCTCCCCATGTAGGACCTCTGTCTTAATGACCTGTAGTATAAGAATTAACGATAAAACTAGTCTTCAAACAGTACTTTATACTTTGTATGTCTGTGTGGGTGCAAACTGTTGAAAGATTTACTTAGTATAGAGTTGATCTTCTGTATATGAAGATAATTAAAAATAAATCTTTATGAAGAATACGATAGGAGATGGAGTAGAAGGTGGGATGGGAGTGGGGGTTGGAGGGTGGGAGAGTGGGTATGAGGAGAAGAACTGCTATTTTGCTAAAGCTGTACCTATGAAATTTGATTTTATTAAATAAAAGCTTTCTTTAAAAATAGATCATGTTAGGGAGTCAATACCTATACTCATTTTTCCTTGAGCCTTTTCTTTGGGGCAGTTTAAAACATATTAAGCTTTAATTGAGTATTTTTTTCACTAAAAAAAATGGATAAGGTTATTTTCTCATGTTTGTAGTTTGCTGTCCTTTGGATAGAAGACCCAGTCATCTTCTGCTGCTGATGAAATGTAACTCCCTACTTATTTCATCTTTGCTTTTGAAATTGTGGTGCCAGCATTGTGGCATAGTGGGTTCAGCTGACACCTTCCATGCTGACATCCCATATTGGATGCTGCTGCAGTTCTGAAGTATTTCCCCCATGCTGGGAAAATCAGCAAAATACCGCCCAAGTATTGGGCCCATGCTACCCATGTGAGAGACCTGGTATAAGCTCCTGGCTTTGGCTTGGCCCAGCCCTGGCTTTGGCAGCCATTTGGGAGTGAACCACCAGATGGAAGACAATCTATCTGACTCTCTGTGGCTCTACCTTTCAAATAAATAAATAAATCCTTGAAATTGTGATTTTACTATGGCTTATATGTTTTGTATAAAACAAGATTACACAGATTCCTCATGAAGGGTTTAGGAAACTAGTTTTCTAAACAACTATATATTGTGTTGGGAAAAGGTAGGGACAAGATGCTTCTTTCTTTTTGGCAATTCTGCCACATTAACTATTGATCTTCTGCCTTTAATGGACAGATCTAAAAATCAGCTTACATTAACACCTTGTAGAGAGGGCTAGCAATTTCTTTGCCCCTTTAAGGTAAAAGAAATGGATGTTGATTCTTTTTTTTTTAATTTAAAGAACACAGTATATTTTACTGTAGTGTCTACACATCTAGGGGAGATTATTAAATAGCTCATGACAGTGGGAATTACGTGGTAATTTACTAAACGTTTTGAAAAGCAGTTTTCTTATATTCAACATATTTTAAAATTGCATTCTTTAGCTTTCACTGAAAAATGATTGCTGCATTTTTTTTTGCCACTGAGAAGTGAGAGTTGTCAAATACAGAGGAAATGAGATTATATGCTGTAATTTGGAAATGTGACTGTTCAAGGACTGTCCTTTGGCATAGGGGAATGTGAGAGACAAATGTAAATGGTTAAATTATTTCCAGTATCTAATTTGAAATCATAGGAGTCTTTGGTTTTACATCTGTAGAAAGTTTCTGTAGTTTCTGAGAGCTATCAGTGAGATCATAGAATATATTGCTTTGCTAATTGGTTTATTATAAAACATTTACTTATTTCCACATAGATTCATGACACTGTAGATGTGGTTGTATAGAAAACTTAAATATTATGTTAAAATACAATGTTAGTTATATAATGTTAGTAAAATAAATATATTATCTAATATTAAATATAATATTAGATAAATAATAAATTACTTAAATATGAGAAAATAAGTAAAGTATTAATGGAAGAGAATTAGAATTGTAACATTAGAATTTCTAATTTCTACTAACTTTAAATAATATTGATCTTTTACCAGCCTGTAAGAATTTTAACAAAACAGAATTTCACTGAGTAATATTATAGATGAGTTTTATTTTTAAAAAGTTACTGTTAGAAGTAGTTAGAGATGATATTTTTTTTCATTATGGATTTTTTTTTGTCCACTTTTGTTTACGCTGCTACTTTAAATATAGAATGGGGTATACCTTTTTTTTTTGGCCGTGTGGGCCTTAGAGGTTTTTTTTCACTAATCTTTTATGGACAGGCAGAGTGGACAGTGAGAGAGAGAGACAGAGGGAAGGTCTTCCTTTGGCCGTTGGTTCACCCTCCAATGGCCGCCGCGGCGGGCGGCTGCGGCCGGCGCACGCGCTGATGCGATGCGATGGCAGGAGCCAGGAGCCAGGTGCTTTTCCTGGTCTCCCATGGGGTGCAGGGCCCAAGCACCTGGGCCATCCTCCACTGCACTCCCTGGCCACAGCAGAGAGCTGGCCTGGAAGAGGGGCAACCAGGACAGAATCCGGCGCCCCAACCGGGACTAGAACCCGGTGTGCCGGCGCCGCTAGGCGGAGGATTAGCCTAGTGAGCCGCGGCGCCGGCCAGATTGTGGTATACTTTTAAGTACTAAAAGTAGTATTGAATGAGAATTAAGTTAAAATGTAAATTCAATTTTTCTTGGTTTAAAGTACATTCTAACAATTAGATGTATATATAATAGGTATATAGTGATCACCATTTCTTGACTCAGTTAAATATTTAGCCATTTTGATTATTTACATAATGATATAAATACTATCTATATTTACATTTTTATAAAGACATTTCAGGTGAGACCTATGATTTGTGTTGCTTCACCTATTGAAACTGGAGAACATTTGATTTAATAGTAACAGTGGTGTTTACTTATATATTAATTTACTGAACCTTTTGAAAGGCAGTTTTGTATTTAACATATTTTAAAATTAAACAGCATTTAATATTCTTTAGCTTTTAGCTGAGAAATGTTTGCTACATTTTTCTGCCACTGAGAAACTAAAATTCTCAATACAGAGATTATATGCTGTGATTTGGTAATGTAATTTACTCCTAACGATCTGATATTTGGAAAATTATCTATTGAATAAACATAATGTTGCCAGTCATCTTGATACTATTTGAAGTTTTTCTTTATAAAAACACCTGCTAGTTATTTTTTAAAAGATGAACAGGTGCTTTTTTACTTGAAATAGGTGTCCTTTAAATAATTACAGAAATATTTCAGAAAGTTCATGGAACATAGAATCAAAGATGTTTGTTTCAAAAGACAATCTTGAAAACTATGCATAGTTTTTTCATAACATGTATTTTTCATGAACTTTCTGAAGAACCCTGTTATGCATGGATTTAAAATTTTTTTACACCAAAATAAACTTTTAATTCCATTTTACACAAAATTTTAAAGTATTGTCATATTTTAACCATATAAATGGAAGTAGCAGCAAT